CAAGCAACGAGAAAGTGATGTACCAATCAGGTAGGACGCAGGTAGGACGCAGGTAACTAGTAATCGCCATATTGTTCCATTTGGGCCGGTTTTCCGGCCGGAAGGAACACGACTGGGTGACGTAATTTGAAAACATTCCAAGTTCCGTTTTGCGTAAACGTGTCTGTAATGCTACAATAAAGCCATGCTCATACATACTGCCTGCTTAGATTTACAGATTTGATATGTTCTGTGCAAATTTATAACAAAAGAAACAATTCTTTTTATTCGCCCAACTTTCGAAAGCAAAAGGAAACCTCTGAACGGCCACGAGCGTAAGCGCTGACGTCAGGTAACTAAGAGAAATGGAACAAGCAACGAGAACGTGATGTACCAATCAGAATGCCAGAACCGTTACTAGTTACCGGCCTCTTGTGGCTTGGTACGCCATGACACTTGAGGCGGGAACCAGCCAATGTTTTATGACGCATAACTAGCCTCTGAAGGCTAAATATCCATCCGCTACCATTTTTCTCAGCGTTTCTGCCGCGGAACTATATAAAAGTATTTTTCTTGTTTTGAACACATCCTCCCCCGATTTTTAGCAAGATTTAATCTTTAATGAGTTGATCAATTAAAATAACACACAACACTCATCAGAATATCTTATTTTATTAACATTAAAATGCATGTAAATTGGGAGGTCAAAGGTCTAATTTTTCTCAATATTGCAATGACACGCAGATCGCCGCAAACCAACCGAATAGCGCCACCTGTGTTGACACAAAGTGGAAATAGTTCCGACCACTTTTCCCATAGTTCCACGCGCGGTATGCGTCAGATCGGTTGGTTTGCGGCGATCAGCGTGTCAATGCTGTTTTTACGTTCGATTTCACGCATAACGCGTGATTCTCGCAGTGAACGGAAAATGGTCTATTTCATGTCTTAGTTTTAAGGAATGATACAAATAAGCTGCCATGGATTGTAGTATCATGTTACTGTCAGACGTCTTCATCAATTCCACAAACTTATTATATGAAGGCAATGTAAAATAGTATCTTGGAATGTATTTTCCCCTAATGACCTCAAAAAATGAATAAATTAATAGTTAATGATATTCGTCTTCAATTTTAGAATAATGGCATAAAGGGCAGACACTGTCACTTCCAATACCACTTTTCCCTGTCGGTTTGTATCCAACAAACTAGTTTATCCATAGTTGAAATATCACCATGCCAATCCAAATACAAACGATATTTCAATCTACAAGCGAAGATCTTAATAAATAAATCAATATTTGAGAAGTCCTATGCACCCCAGACCTCTTGCATATTGCACGATAATAATAGTTGTTTAACCTAAGTGACTCAATTTGGTCTAGTTCTAGACTGAGACATCTCTAAGTGGTACAACATAAAGTGACATTACAAGGGTACCTTGTTCTTGGCATGCGTAATAATTTAGCCCAATACTTGACACATCACTTAGCTGTTATTATGTAAATTTTGTAACGCCCACAATTTCCGAGTACTACACAGTTTGAAGCATTTTGGGAGACACCTAAAAATATTCTACAAGCAAGATATTGTACTCTTTCTATTGATTCATAACGATGGTGACCGCAAATTTCAGACCCATATGTTAATATCGGCAGAATCATTGTGTCAAATATTTTGAAGAAATGGTCATAAGTTAGCGGGCCAAATTGCCTTGTGCGTTTGATTAGACACATTAACGACTTTTTACTTTGTTGGGCAAGCAATTTAGTAGCACAGGGCCAATTTAACCGACGGGAAAATAACACTCCGAGATACTTGTAATATGAAACTATCTCAACTGTTTCTCCCTTATAAACCCATTTTTCTGCACTTGAAAAACAACCCCGTTTTTAAAACAACAACTTTAGTCTTGAATACTAGTCATTTGAAAGTCAACTTCCACAAATCACAATAACTCAAACTATTTAACAATCGTTGTTAAATAATCACAAAATCTGAAAATGAAACGACATCGTCTGCAAACAACAAAGTATCTCTACTAAATCTGGTGACAGCAGTACCGCTTTTGACACGGAGTTTGTAGTGCTAAGATTAATTCATTTATGTAAACTATTCTCTATTGTCGAATACCCTTTCCGAAAACCGGCTAGCTTCGTCATTTTTTTCCGAAACCTTTCGCTCAAGATTGATGAGAATATTTTACTAAAAATACTTAGAAGTGAGATGCCTCACTGTATTATACCATGTCATATATTTATTTTTTCAAGATACAGTTATTCTAACACGCTTAAATCTAGTTTCCTACAGTGTCTCTGTATCACCCTACCTAAACTTAGCGTCCCAATCCTTCTGCCGTACCCGCTATAGCCCTGTCACATAAACAATAGTGGACGAGAAGAACCCAATACTGTGGGGGAGGGGGTCATTATTTGTTATCACCATCATACGGATTAAACCAATTTTGTTAATTTGGGGGATTTTTAGTTGAACTGAATTTACTTACGAATATACGTTTACATTCATTATCTAGTGATAATATAAAACTACATGTATGACGTCATGTGACATTCTGGTAATGGCGATTTATAAGCGTTTCAACCTGTTTTCCCTAAAACAGTGCTGTCCTCCATCTTTGTATCATTTATAATATCACCACGACATGTTACCAAGGATTTGTTAGACTTATAGTAACTTGTATTTGACCTTGCGACAGATAATTCCTGAACACAATATTACAAAAAAATTATTTTATTAATTTACATAATACACACATAGATACATAGATATATGAGTAGGTCTCATGCCACTAATCAACCAATGGCTGCTCGTAGCCCAATTTAAATGCTTTGCAGGAACCAATGAAATTTTTTAAATATTTTTTTTTCTCAGGTGCTTTCTGTTTGAAGGCGTAATCACCTGGGTCAAAGGTGAGACCAACATGTGGCCTTTTGTTATCTACTACTTAGCGGCTGTGTACCTGTGGGTTTATTCTGTGTGTATTTGGATGTTCTAATCTTGGTGTTTTTCCAGTGATTTCTCTAGGTGCAATCCAAATACAGTAGGTGTTTCTTGTTTACCTGAGATTTGTAAGAGTTTGAGCTGGCCAACATGTTAGTTTATTTCATGTGGTTGATTACTGGCATGTTGATTTGAGCAATGTTTTCAACTTTGTTCATCATTTTCATATAGCAATCTCGTCATATGTTAACATTGTCGCCTATGGAAATTCAATTAGTGATATGCGCCCAGTAGGACACATTCTTGCTAAAGATCAACAAGACTGCTTAGCGTGGGCGAAATACGCAAATGTTTTCCCAATACCTGACACGTTCACGTGATGCACATGTGCATAAATTAGCATCGCTTGAATTAGTACGGCGACTTCCATTGGAGAACGGCTCGCGTTCCGATGATGTCACAAGTCACGTGGGTGAAAATGCTGAAATGCATTTGCGAAAAACTCCATTTTTTTACCCAGTCGGAATTTCTTTTGTGGTCCTCTAGATATTCCTAATCACTATAACTACTTCCTCTACACAAACGAGACAATATAATATCCTTAAAACTTTTCCAGAACGAGTATGGCAGAGTGTGTCAGGTAAAAAAAAAAAATATCCACGTAGTTTTTTTTATTGGAATATTACTATGGAAATCTTTTGGACGTTTAAATACCGCCAAATAACTCGCCAGGTTCATCTTTGTGGAGAACGTTAGAATCTGGTAATTACACAAGATAAAACAGATCATTAGTCGCCAAGCAACATAACGGTCAAAGGTCATATGGTCCCCATTGATTACCACGCTGGGCACAATTAGGACTGTAACTCGATGATCCACAGAAGACAGAATGTGAATAATAATCTCTAAGTCGTTTCAATAGTTTGATAACAATTTCAGGTCGACAACTAGATAAATCATTTTTTTCATTCTGATCTTCTTCCAGGTCGAATAGCCACACCATCTTTCCCAGGATCTCTGTACTTGGCGGCATGATATGATCTTCTGGGTAGTTAAGCTCCGGAGGCGGTACCCAGGTTTTAGGTGACCCTGAGGATGAGATAAGTGAAGTTTGTCATGTCATACCGAAATGATACTCTCACAATAAGGCCATAATACGTAATACAAATACGACAAATCTTACATCCGTATATGAATAACAATTTTGCATAATTATTTATTTACAAATACACATAACCATTCCTGTATCTGTAGCAAATTTGTACTCTTTTGACCTATCCACTATTGTAAAATTGGCTGTCGGATCAATTTTATTTCTGTAATGTGTATAGTTGTGACTATTTTGCAGTGTGGACGCAGTATATATTCACTCATTCATTCAGGTAGAAGCATGCCATTAAAGGGCGGTAGTCGTCGCGCCGCGCATGTGCGACATGTGTGTTGATAAACATTGATTTTCCCACATTCCAATGCGCTCTTCTAATGGAAATCCAAGTATTAGTTAACCTGGGCGCGACTTGCACTAATTACAG